CTGCCGGCCAGGGTCAAACCACGACAAATATAAATCTTTTTAGGACTCTTCTAGGTTTAAAAACCATTCTGAAGAATTGACAAAAAGCGACTTAAAAAACTTACCCTTGCTGGAAGAAGGCAAAACTGACGCAAATGGGCATGTGGTGGATGCTCAGGGGGACAGGATCCCGTTCCTCGGAAGTGTACTTGGAAAAGAATTGGCCCAGAAGACAATTATTTACAAAACATTTTATTTTTAGATTATGTACTCTGCAAAGATATTTAAAGAAATAAAAAAAAACTATGAAGGCTAGCAAACGTTTAGCTAAGTATTAAAACAAGCTCTTTTTACTCTTCTTGTGCAATTCTTACTGTTTACTACCTACCTAGCTAAGCATAGCACATCAGCTGCGTGCTCGATCTGCCTAAAATACTGTAAAATACTTAGTTTTTACAATTAATATTCCCACAAACTGAGATGGCTAAAATTCCGCCTTCAGTAGGCTTCCTTACTACGATTTCACATTTTGAATAGCAACGCATCTATACTAAAACCTCAAGTACCTTGGAAGTTATAAGCTTACAAACATTTAATTCTCCCTTTTAGACAGAAAGGAACAGCTACCTGTGACACCACAAGATTTAGTATGATCTGGTAGAACTTACCACAGTTACTTCCTGTCCTTGCACAGACACATCTGGTCTGCGAAAATGGCACAGAGCTACAATCCCTGCGATGCTGGCAGCATCGATAATGTTACCATCGTGATTTAACAGGTGCAGGTCCAGCCGAATTTGCCAAACCTGAGAAAAAGCATTCATAACTGCTTGGTGATCTGTAACGTGATTACACAAAGTTACTATTTTTCAAACCAATTTCATTTCTTGAACCTTAAAAAAATCCAAGCATATATTCTTCAGGTCTTTGCTTAAGAAGATGCAAGATCTTGGTATATAGAATCATAAAGTATTAGGGGTTGGAAGGGACCTCAAAAGATCATCTAGTCCAACCCCCCTGCCAGAGCAGGATCACCTATATGCCAAGATACTCAGTGTGCTAGATTTAAGTCATGATTAATTATGACCCAACACATAAGATGCAAGTACAATTTAAACTTCATTCTTCAAATAAATATTGGAGTATGCAGGGTCCCGACTCCTTCAGAAAGCTGTCTTCATTTGAGCGAAAACAGAACCAACTCTGTTCAGTGATTTTACTCTTCAGCTCACTGTCGTAAGATGTAAGAATCCTTACGTTAATCTAAAACCAGAACTCTTGGTTTTCAAAACAAGACAGAGACTGTCTTAAAAACCAGACTATATGTGTCTGTTAGTTTAAAACCACTGGAAGTTAGTAGGGGTTCATACCTTTTCACCAGCAACAACGCAGAGAGATTCAGTATCTATGCATTTGGAATTTCTCAGGCAGCGTTCTATTAACCTGTTCAGTTTCACCAGCAACTCAGTCTGCCTGTTAAAACAAAATTAACCCAAAGTTACTGATTTCAGTACATGCTTACATATATCAAAGAAACAGCTCTTAGGCTATCCTTGCTTGTCTTTTTAAGAAAGCTCCATACCTGCCAGGCTCGAAACCAGGCGCAGCCATTGGCGAGAGCTCCAGGTTAAAGAACAGGATACCTTCTGTCGGCCGATTCGGCTTCGGAGGAACGAGCTCACATGAGACCTGCGCAAGAACCCTGCAGAGGTAAACAAACCGCTGAGTTGCGGATTTGGCTGCGAAAACCTGCAACTGGAAACAGAATATGTACTTTGAAAAAGCACGTGTTTGGGCTTTTGATTTGTGGTTCTCGTTCTTGACAGCCAAAGTGCAAAGCCTGTCACACGTGCTTAAACCCTGGGCAAGAACTGAGAGAGCCAACTGCCGAAATCAGAACGCTCTCTTGTCTTTTAGGGTTAGAAACAGCCTCAAACACGAGAGCCTCTA